GAATCGTGGCGACCTTTTCTAGGAGGAGATATATCTGGAGAATCGTGGCGACCTTTTCTAGGAGGAGAAAAATCTGGAGAATCGTGGCGACCTTTTCTAGGAGGAGATATATCTGGAGAATCGTGGCGACCTTTTCTAGGAGGAGATATATCTGGAGAATCGTGGCGACCTTTTCTAGGAGGAGATATATCTGGAGAATCGTGGCGACCTTTTCTAGGAGGAGATATATCTGGAGAATCGTGGCGACCTTTTCTAGGAGGAGATATATCTGGAGAATCGTGGCGACCTTTTCTAGGAGGAGATATATCTGGAGAATCGTGGCGACCTTTTCTAGGAGGAGATATATCTGGAGAATCGTGGCGACCTTTTCTAGGAGGAGATATATCTGGAGAATCGTGGCGACCTTTTCTGGGAGGCGATATGTCTGGAGAGTCATGTCTTGTTTTTCTGACAGGAGACTCCTGCTTCTTTCCCTTTGATGACAGTTTTGGTGAGTTATAAGGAATACTGCTTGATGCCACAGGCTCCAAATGTTCCCTCTCCTCCTCATCTTCTTCTTTGTTTTCATCAGCTAAAGGACAAAAAACACTAAATGATTATCTTGTTTAACACAGGAATAAATACTGTTTAGTGCTCTTGCACTTACCTCCAATTACTTTCCATTTGTTGCCACTTCTAAAGACTTCCAGCTGTTTCACTTCCTCTGGTCGTTCATCAATGACCTCGGCGATCTATGTAAATACACAGTTTCAAAACAGAAAAAAGGAATTTCGACCTTGCTATATTCATTCTAAAGAGAGAAAAAATATGATCTTAACAACTTATTGTAGTCAAATTATGTAGATTTCCATTTGATTTGACATGTACCACTGTATGAACATTAATGCCCACCAAGAACATGGCAAATGATTTTTTTTTTTTCTGATAGCAGCAGGCCCCCAACAAGAAAATTTACCTGTTACAAATACTTTTTTGGAGTACAAAAAATACTTTTCTGGATAATTTAGAGAGAAATTTACCAAATATATCTATATCTAAGCTCCAAAAACGTAATAATATTATAATAATATTATTATTAGATGGTAACTTTAACATGAAAATAATGTATAATTTACATGTTGCTAAACCAAACTTATAAACCATTAAGATTGAAATATGCCTTTTAGTTTTTATGATAATGTTTGTGTTTTGGCCTGTTGTGTCACTAAACTCCTGTAAAGTATTAGTAAACGATGGCAGGTTAGCTGTGGGAGTAATGAATGGATCAGGCTAGCCTGAAAGCTAACATTAGCTAAGCTAGCTGCTTACCACTGGAGCTTCTTCTTCATCCTCTTCAATTTCCGTCTGCTCTGTGACCAAATGTCTCCAGTCTATATCATCGTCCACTATTTTAAGTCTTAGATTAAACAAAAAATACAGAAATTCAACGTTATCAGGCAGCAATGCTAAACAAAAGCAACACACGGTCAGTCYATGTTAGCTAGCTTAAAAGCTAATTTACCAATGACTAACACTTTCTCCTCCACTCACCCTCTCTCGGGAACCTTGCGTCGTTTCTTTTTTATCTTCCCTTTTGATTTACTGGAGTTTTCGTCAGCTGATAAATAACGTTTAAGGTACTCGGCCTTAGAGAGTTCGGCTCCTTTGATGCTGCTAGTAGAGGCAGACATGTTGGATGTTGTCAGAAACTACGGGCGCCGACGAGGATCAAGAAACCAGGACGTCAGCGACAGGGTCTGCTTCATTTATGCACCGGCGCATTCCGGCGGGCGGAGAGGCGACTTCTGAACTGTGTGTCATCTCGGC